GGCGAAGTCCGGCCCCCCACGGGCCAAGCTCCGGGCCCCCCCAGGTGAGGTTCTAGCCACCACGAGCTGATGTGGCCACCAGCCCTCGTTGACTGAGACGCTGGGGCCACGTTGAGCGGGGAGGAGAGGCCACCCGCACCGGGGACGCCCCTACCTTGCGCGCCAAGTGCTTGAAGTCCTCGGTGGTGGTGATCCTGCCCACCTTGCAGTCGGGCTTGCGGTAGGGGTTCAGGCACTGCACGATGAACTGCGACATCTGCGGAGGAGCCGCACGCGTGAGCGGGGCGCAGGGGACGCCGAGGGCCCCCGCGCCGCCCCGGCCCGGCCCCGGCCACGCTCACCTCCTTCCTGAACACCTCCTTGCTCTTCTTGGCCAGCTCGCTCGATGTGTCCGCTTCCGCCGTCTTGGGCTTCTTGGAAGACTGGATTGAGGGGGAAAAGGAAATGGAAGAGGCTGGAAAAACCCTCTAAAGAAATCCCTGTGAAACCCGTGCGCCGGGCGGGCCGCCGCGCTCACCTTCATGGGGTTCTCGTCGTACGTGGGGGTGCCCAGGTCCATCTCGGCCTCGTGCTCCAGGCTGGCGTCGTCCCCGGGGCTGTCCCAGGTCGGAGGGTCCCACTGGGTTTGCCTGGGGACAGACATGGCGCTGTCACCCCCCGGGGAAGGAGGCAGCGCCGGGGGCTCCATCCGGGAAAGGCCGCTCCGGTTTGGGCCCGGGGGGGGTTCCCGGGATACAGCGGGAACCTCCGGAAGGAGGAACAAGGGCACCCATGTCAGCAGCCCCCGTGGCACGGGGTGACCTAACACTACAACTATTTTCCTTCTCCGGCTGCGGAGAGCCGGGGGCTTCCCCTGCGCTCCGAAGGGGAACGCGGCGGAGGAGCTTCGGAGCCGTCCGCGGAAAAGCTCGTGGCGCTCCCCGGCTTTCCGAGCGTCAGGAAATACCGTCGGAAAAAATGCAGGGCTGCTCGTTCCAACCAGCCCGGTGGGTTTTCCGGCACACTGCTGAATTCCCCAGCGCCTCCCGAATATTCCTGAGGGCAAACAACTGCATTTTGCTGGATCAGAGAAGATTTGAGATAGCAGAGCAAGGAAAGTGCATGGACAAGGAGGATTTCTCTGTTTTTTGCAATGAGAAGATGCCTTCAGAAAGACTTTCGAGGATGCACGCTCTGGAAACCTCAGGATTAACTATAGGGAATTATTCCGAGTTAAGGGACTCACAAAGGAGCCTGGCTGCGGGTGAGGCTCAGCCACATCACCCGGTTTTGGATGGAGGCTGCCAAATCCCTGCTCGTCCTCAGCATCTCCCACGTTCTGCGGGGTTTGGAGGGTCCCCTGTGCTGCCCTCAGAGCAAACCTGGCTTTTAAAGGTAGTGGGGGAAAAGGGGTTGCTGACGGGAAATGGGAAAGGTCGCGGGATGTGGGGAAAACAGACAAGAGCCCCGCTCCTTTCGGAGCCACATGAAGCCACTGGCCTCATTTGTCTGGGAAAAATCATGGCCTTAACCCTGAAAGAAGGGGAGATCCCACAAAGGGCTCTCAAAGTTGGAAACGACAAAAAAAAATCCCTTTTAACGGTGCAGAACTCATGCTATTCCTTTTAGATACGTTCCTAGGCAGAGATCCAAACCCGGCATACCGTAAAGAGCAGCTCACAGAAGTGCCCAGCAAGGAAAGGGAATTTCTTCTTCTTTCTTGCTCAAGAACAGACCAGCGGCTTCAAGATGGAAAAAGTGAGAGCAGGGAGGGGGATAAAAACCCTTGGATGCTGCACAAGCTGCCAAGGAGCTCGCGGCCACGTGCCGGCCCATCCACAAGGCTCCGGGGCTGCGGAGGGAAGCGCCGGTTCGGCAGCACAGAGGATGGTTTTGGAGCCAAAAGAGCAAAGAAAAGATTTGGAATTTATAAATAAACGGCACTCGGGTGCTGGTGGGGGAAGGTGCTGCTTGCGGGAATGCTCAGGTGGGATTTTTATTATTGGATTTTTTATCCAGAGGACTTCGACGTGCATCACGGCCTGGGAAACGCAGCTCTGACCCCAGTGCCGATTTCTGGGGACTAAGGATGGGTTTTTGTCGAGAGCAGCCTCTCCCCTGCCGTGTTCTGCTGCCGGGTGCTGCCCGGGAGATGCTGGGGCTCTTTCCCAGCCCTGGGACATCCAGCTCCCCCTGTGCCACCTACCTGGTGACCACGTGGTAGTAGTAGATCTTTCCCTCGGGATCGCGGGCCGTTTTCCAGTTGGGAGGGAGGACGATCGTCTTGGGTTTCGGAGGCGATGGCGGGGGCAAGTCCAGGAGGTTATTGGTCACCACGAGCTCTGGCTAAAAACATGAGAAAAGGTGTGAATTAAAAAAAGGAGAGGAGTAGGGAGAGCCCCAGCATCCCGTAACCATCCTCCCCTTGCCTCTACTCAACAGGAGCTCAGGGGAGCAATCCCGGAATCCCAGAAGGGCTGGGGCTGGTAGGGACCCCCCAGTGCAGCCCCCGGCTCCAGCAGGGGAACCCAGAGCACGGGGACCCCGGGAGG